TTGTCTTTTTTTGAACAGATTATCAATGTAGCAGCACAAAATGTGTCTCTTAACATGATGACAGAGGTAACAAGTAACCTGCTGAGACAGTGGCTTATTCTGTAGCGCTCCAAAACAATTTGTTTTTCAACATTCACAAAGTCACATATAACGTCATTTTTCTAACTCCATAGTTGCCTGCAGGAGTTCAGTATTAACTGACTTAATAAAGAGCATTTTATTAATGTTGTCATTATTATTTGGTGATATCTTCATGAAAACATTTTTGTGAAAGTATTCACCCAAGTCCTTGCTGCATTGTTGTACCTGAATGCCCAGTGTGTAAACAAAACAGATCTTTTCAGACTCGAAAGCTATAAATCCTAATCAGTGATACACATTAGTGTTATAATTTTGGGAGTAGGTGGGTGATTGTATAGACAATATAGGATGTTACTGTGTGCTTCTGTGGACTGTTAACCTTCTGTGACTTGTTCTAAATCTACAGTCACTTTTTACTTCTGGTATGGGGGAGGTAAGGAGATGTTTCAAAACTACTGAAAGAGGATTCCTGGAGCCATTCTGCTCAGACTAGTTTTCTACTAAGAAAATTCTGCTCAGACTAGTTTTCTTGCTCCCACACTTTCAAAAGAAGGATTTGGTTTCAGTCTTTCAATGGTCTTTGAGCACTGTTGTAGTTCTAAATGTGTGCAGCAAAGAGATAGGATAGGAAATTTATGGAAAAGGGAGAAAGTAGGAAACATCGGTACATGAAGCACTGTTCTTGACCAATAAGTGTAGTGAAGGTTATAGCAGGATTTGTAGCCATGCTTCCCAGTGAAGTTGGGGAAGCTCTTACTAACCTTGGAAAACATAAAACTACAGTAGGCACTGATTATTAAGAAACTGAAGTGGAAATTGAAGTATTTAATCTTTAAAATAGAAGAAGGACAAATGAGTTATCTAGGTTTTTCTAGGGAAATGGACACTTTTGTTGTCTGGGAAAACAAAGTTAACCGTTTTTTGTGTTGGAACTCTTTGTCAATGTTAGAAGCTAGGAACTGCAGTGTTCAGAATAATGCCTTATATCTCTGGAGAAAGTTGGTAACATAGACACTTAAAGATAGGATTGGAAGTGGTAACAGGCTGTATTTGAAATATTTGTACTTTCAGTAAAAGGAACACTCAGAATTTAAGAGCATACTGTGGAAGTGCCAAACTACTGGAAAGAAATGCCAGGAGTCAGTGTACTTGTAAAGCTAGATTTTTTTTCACTAGGATACGATGACAGGAGTTACACCTCATTGGAAAAAGTAGCACTATCAAGCCATACAGTTTCAGAACTCTTCCCTCTCCCTAGTAGGAGGGGGTGAGAAGTATAGAAGAAGGATGTATAAATAAATATAAGTTGGTCTCTTCTCCCAAGTAACTAGTGATAGGACAAGAGGAAATGGCCTCAAGTTGCGCCAGGGGAGGTTTAGATTGGATGTTAGGAAAAATTTCTTCACCGAGGGGGTGGTCAAGCATTGGCACAGGCTGCCCAGGGAGGTGGTGGAGTCACCATCTCTGGAAGTGTTCAAAAAACGTGTGGACGTGGCGCTTCAGGACATGGTCTAGGGGACATGGTGGCGCTGGATTAGTGGTTGGACTTGATGATCTTGAAGGTTCTTTCCAACCTTAGTGATTCTGTGAAATATTTGTGCTAATCAAAGTGATAAATGTGATGGATAGATAAAAGTTTGGCATGAGCCCCAGAGAGCAGACTGCTGTTGGGTTTTTTGGTTGGTTTTTTGTTTTTTTCTAATTGTTTGAACCCTCCTTATTTATTGCTTTCACTTGTGGTTTTTTCCTCTCTTCTATGATAGACCTAACCTCTTTTCTTTGAGATTCAGTATAGCTTTGCTTTTATTAGCTCTTCTGTACTGCACATGTCTTTTGTGCAAGCGTAAGTAGGAGAAAGTTACTGTATTATTTTGCTTGCATTTGAAGAGAGCTTTATAAAACACCTAAGGGGAGACACCTAATGGGGAGAAAATACGAAGTGACTGTGAGGTGAAATTAAACGAACCAGAGCCAGCGAAGAAGGCAGTCTTAAAATTTGCAAGTGTTGAAAGTTCTAGGTAAAGCTTCTACACTGTGTTGTCTATGTGAAGAAAGAAGGAGGTGAAGAAAGAAGCTACTGTAAATACCTCAGGTTACTGAGAGACTGATGTTGTCTGTATAAATTGCTATTCTAATTAGATTGCTATTAAACTTGAAATACCAAAAAAATGCAGCAGGATTTTTTTGCATTATTCTAGATAGATCTTAGACTTAGACTTTCCTGAACACCTGACCTATACAAGACTGGGGAGATACCTTGTTGCTTGACTGAAAGATGTATTACCATTTTGTGATGGTAATGCAAGATTGCTACAGATAAAACTTTTCATTGGTCTGTAAATAAGAAATAGTGGGCTCCATTCCTCTTCAGCCTGGAGGTCAACCAAATAGTGGGTATAAACTGGGATAGATGTGGAGAATGAAGGAGAAACCAGCTTGTGTTTCCGATTCCAGAGAGACAGTAGAAAATAAATTAAAGGAAGTGGAGAAATGTGACACATGGGTTGTTTTTAATAAATAGTTCCTGATGTATGTTTAAGAATTTGGTCTGGCTTTAGTGGTTTGGTTTGATTACTTTGACATTTTGTAGCTTTCTAGTTGAAGTGATTTCTTCCTAGGGTGATAAATGGTGCCTGTAGCAAATAAACAATAACCATAAGTCATTTTATTAGGTGTGATCTTAAATTAGGCCAGGGAGACTTAAAGGTATGGTTTTTGTGTGGTGTTTTCTCTTAAGCTGCATGTGTGATTGTTTGCATCCTCTGCTGCCGCATGGCATGTAATCAGACAAAATAAGGAAGCAGCTTGCTGCTCTGCCTTCGCAAGTGAGCGAAAGGGGACCTGCTGAGCGGAGGAGCAGTTGCTGTAGGGAGTAGTCAAAGGGAGTGCAAATCTGGCAAGACTAAGTGGGAAGTATGCATTTGGACAGTCCAGTTCCAAGTGTATTACTGTTCTTTTGTCTGTCCCTTATTCCTTGCATGTGTGAAGCCAGGCCTTTATTATCAAGTTTTATACTTATATCAAGTGTAAGACAGCAAATTAATATTGTAGCTGTGAAGGAATGGGAATAGGATGAGGGGTAACAAATGGGACCAGAAGCAGGTGATCCATGTTTTATTTGCATGGTGTCTTCATAGTCAAAAGACAGAAGCTTTCAAAGGGAGATCTGTCATCTTTGATGACTTGCCATCTTGAGCATCACTGTTCCTGTATGCTTCTCGGTGTGCAATGTAGTATAATGTGAAACAGGGCAGAGTAGATGCATTATGGAGAGACCTGTAAATACAAATAGCTAGCAGAAGACAGCGGGGGGTGGGACGCATGTTTTGAAAACACCAGGTGTCGGAATCCCCTAAATTGCTGTATGTGATACCAGAATACAGGAAAGTTGCAGAGAGCTGGGGAGGAGGGGGGCAGTGTGGAGTGGTTGCGTACCATTTTAGGTACCATTTCTTCCAAAGTGTCCTCTGTTATATTTTGAAGAATAAAGGCTATGGAGTCACTTGTGGGAAATGTTGTGGGATGTGAACCTTTTTTCTTTTCTTTCTAATGGCTGTATATATCATTATTCTTTTAAATGTGTATTGGTTTTTGATAAATCTAGTTTCAGTGAGTTCCATGTTAACAGGACATTGTTTAAAAAAGATAACCACCACCACAACTATCTCTTTTCATAAAGTTTTTAAAAATCGTTTGTTTGCTTTGGAAAATAGTCTTGTTATGCTTCAGCTATGTAAGAGTGCATCTTAAACAAAAGTTAATTTTCACTGATTACAAGGGTAGATAAGTTATTCAGTCATAGCAGAATCTGATTTTTTCTGGTGGTTGGAAAGTGGCTTTTGAAAAGGTTATGAAGCAAAAGTGTACTGAAATGAAGTCAGTAAATAGTTAATTCTGAATTCAGGTGCGTATATAATCAGCCTTACTGGAGATAATGAGGTTCACCTCCTGTGGATTTTTGTCTCCTGCATAGCAGCTGTCTCCTATAGTTCAATGGTTTGTGAAATGCAGTTATAATTGGAAGCATTTGTGTGATGTATATTGTTTGCTCTGGCTTCAGCATTAAAAATATGCTATTTAGGGTGAATAAACACCATTTATATATACAATACTCTTTAGTGTTGTGAGCCTTTGCATGGTTTTTATTGCAGCTATATATTTTTTTTCTTGGTTTAATTTTGGGGGTTTTTTAAATGTCTTCTGTTTGAAATTTGTAGTCTCCTAAGCATGTGTAGTTATCTGTAATTAACTTTGTAGATGTTGGCTAAAAACAAGGTCAATTGGAGCAAGATTTATTTTTTAGACTAATTGAGATCTGTTTGCAAAGTTTGACAAACGTATCTGTACAGAGTTTTTTCCCTGAACAGATGAACTGCAGATGTCCTTACGGAGTAGCATATTAATTACAGTTATAATAAGCATGTAACAGTTGAAACTACATGGATCTACCATGTTTTGATTACCTGTGTTGAGCCAACAGTTTTTCTTTTAAAATACCTTTTTGCATTTGTGGGATTCCAACAGGCTACCTTGACTCCAGAAATAGGCATCATTATGCTTCTTAAGAAGACTTTTGTCTTTACAACACTGCTCTGTGAATGGTGCTCAGTTGTTCCCACCTGCTACTGATATGAGAGCATTTTGCACCTGGGTTCCTTGGAGCACTGTCTTCCACCATATGTTCTGTTTTCCATTTCTTGTAAAACTTTCTTTTTCTGACATGCTGATGTAGGTGATAGTCCTGCAGCCACCTAGTGGGACTGCATTGTGCTGATGTATTTTTAAGTGTGGGATGTGTATTTCTGAGCTAGAAGAAAGGCCTCAGTTATCTGGGGTTGTATTAGCCCCTTTATAATGAGGATAAACTAATGAGGAAAATGTTGGGGAGTTTTAGTCTCACTTTTGCTGTTTGTGTGCAGGTGGCAATAAAAATCATTGACAAATCTCAGCTGGATGCTGTGAATCTGGAGAAGATCTACCGAGAAGTGCAGATAATGAAAATGCTTGATCACCCACATATTATAAAGCTCTACCAGGTATGGTTAGCAGTGTCTTTTTTTCCCTTTTCCCCCTCTCTTGCCTCTGTATGAAGAGTTCACTCTACACCAGTGACTTCTGGCACATCACCAATCTGTGACAAACTCAGCTTTGAAAGTTTATCAGCTGTGGTCTTTTTCATTCTGTGGTACCAATTAGGCTGGCCATGTTAGATACTCAAGTGTACCTGAAATCTGCTTAAAATACACAGAAGGTTCTAAGTTTTACATTAGTGAAAGAGTGCAGTTGGAAATGCCCAGTGATGGGACTTTGCTGTCTGTTAGTAGACAGGGTACTATTTAAGCTATAGTAGGGTATAAATACTCATCGTAATGTATTTACAGTGAGTACTAGCTGTGAGGATCTGCATGGATATAGTGGTTTCCTTTACTTGAGTCTTTGCTCAGTGTACAGACTGAGCAGTACTTGCAGCCTTTTTTTCTTAACCAAAGATGGTAAGACATGAGGATATGTAAATCCAGATTCTGCAGATATGCTTGTGATGTAAATGCACGCACCAAGCAAGAGCTTCCCAAACACTTTATCTTGAAGAGTATTTACTAGGAGATGGATAACTAGTTTTTTGTGTTTATTTTTGTTGGAATCTTGCATTTCACTTCTGTTGTGGATATGGACAAATTGATATATATCCTAAAGTGAATTATGTACCTTGTGGAATTGAATGCATTCCTTTATAACATAAAGGATGAATAATTATGGTACAATAATGTGTATCTACATAAGAGATAAACCTGCACTTGTGAGAAAGCATACAATTGCAGACAATGAAAACTTTTGAACATTTTTTTACTTGTGACTTTTTTAGTGTGCATAGTTTGTATAGTAAAATATAGGTTTGTTTTATATGTTTCTCTTCTATGTCATTTTCTGTTCCTGCCAGTATAGGGTAAAATGTTTGAGGCTGCTGGCATTTCTGCTTCAGTTAACTCTTGCTTTTAAGGCTTTCCAGATAATAGTCCCTTTGGGGTCTGTTCGTTAGTGTTCCGTTTAACAAATCACATGGTGCTTCTGAGTTACTCTCTTGCTTCTTTCAAATAAACCTAGGTCAACAAACAAATGAAGACTTGTGCATGCTAAAACTAAACATTGAATTTAAGTTCATTTGATGGCATCTGTGAAGGCAATGTAAGCACAAGGACTTGGACCTATGGTGTTGGATTTTTCAACTGAATAAAGACGAAGATCCTGATTTAGACTTGTTTAGCTTTAATTTCACCTTATGGGACAGAGACTGGTGCTTCCTCTTTAAAATATCGATTCACCAAGTAGAGGTGGACCTTTGGGACTAAATTTCTAACTAGCTAGAGTAATATCTACTACAGTTCCTTATGAATGAGTGACAAAACACAAAAATGGTAAAGGAGAGTCAGAATAGTTAAGCCTGAAGATCAGCAAGATCACTTGAAGAGAAAGGTAATTATTATGTAGTACTTACCCCTTTACTATTAAGGGATTGACTTGTTAGAAATGCATCTGATAGGTGAGTTTATTTTAAAAATAGCCTTCAAATTGTCTAGCTAGTTTGCTTGTATAATGTGCCCATCACTGTACTGTGTCCATACTACAAATTTCTGAATTGTCTCTTGTCAAGGAACTACTGAGGATTGTCAAAGTTAGGTAATGAAGCTAGCAATCTTGGCTTGATTAAGAATGGTTCCATATATGTGTAGTCCACAGGCTGTTGCAGGTTCTTGTCTCCAAATGTTGGTTTAAAACAGTCTTTCCAAACTGTTTTGCCTTCCAGATACAGACATTTCAGTTATAATATGCTCAGCTGTTGTAAAGTGCAGGAGAGACTGAAGGATTGCCATCTTGTTCTGTCTGCTGGCTTGTCAGTTTTTTGATAATCTTCTGTCTTTCAGGGTTTGCCTTTTGTTTTAAAGCATTCCTCTAAAAAGTTTATTTGTGAGCAGTCTTCTAGTACTTTTTAAGCTTGTGCATAAATAAAATGCAAAAATAAAATTCAAGAAGGTCTTGTCCATGGACAGCTCAGGCTGCACTATTTTACTGTGGTTACTGAAATAGGCCCAAAATGTATTGGGTGTTGAAATTGTTGTATTGTACTGAAGGGACATCCTAAATGACTTTTTTTATTTTGAAGTAGAGGATTTTTCACTTTCAGTGTATCTTTGATTATGCTATTTGTACAGTGCATTCCTGAGTAGCTGTTTAAGCAATTGAGGAGTAGATCATTAGGAATAAAACTGCAAGATAACTCACTGGGCTGCGTTTTACCAACTTATATCATGGAAGTATGGAATTTTGAATTGTTGGGTGAAATCTTTCTGTTGAGCCTGTGAACACAGCCTTGATGGAAAACTTTTGAAGTCTTCCCCTTACCCTCTTTCTTTTTTCCTGTTTATCTCTCTCTATTCCTTCCAGCCTCCCATGTTTTTGAATTGTGAGTGGTCTGTTCTTAAAATAGGAAGGCTGGAACTTATCAGAAGATAAAGTAGAAGATGCTTAAAGTTTGGTGGGGGTTTTTGCCCTCCCCCACCAGAGGGTATCACATATTGAGGATGTGATAGTTCTGTAGCTGTACTGTCCAATTGTACAATGGGATACTGTGACGTGGTGCTTTTACCTGAATTTTTCCAGGTTAAGACTGATGCTTACCTGTTTGTTTTTCTTTCTATAACTAGAGAACTGTTGGTAACAGATGTCTGTATTATTCCTAGTATTCTTTCCCAAGCACCAGCCGGGAGCATGTTAGAAAACTTCGGCAATTGAAGTACTTCAAGGAATCTGCATAAAGGAAAGTCTTTAAACTAGCTGCTGAGGATACTATCGTTTTGTGTTTGTCACATGTGGCTAAGAATCCTATCCACTTCCTCCTCTGTACACTGGCTTTATGAAGTATTTAAAGCTTATCCTTGTGCTTAGCATGCAAATGCTCCCTGTGAGATTGTTGAGGTAACTTGAAAGTTGAACAACAAAGTGATAGATTGTGGTAACTGTATGTGCAAGGCAAAGATTTTCATATCTTTACCAGAAGAGAACAATGAAAATAAGTATCCATTTGGGTGTTTGTTTGCTTTTTGCTCTTCCTGCAAACAATCTCATGTGCGATTTCTCTATCAACAGGTGATGGAGACCAAAAACATGTTGTACCTTGTGACAGAATTTGCCAAAAATGGAGAAATTTTTGGTAAGCAAGAGAATATTTTCATGTTCAACATTTTAATGTTAACTTCTGAAGTTTGTATTTATCTTGCCAGAGAATCCCTTTTACTGTAGTATGTCCCTTTCCTTTATTTGTCAAGAAATGTGTGGTAACTGTCATTTTTTCTCATTTTAGAAATAAGAAGTTTAGGGGAAACTGTTACAGTATACACTAGCATAAGAAAAAAGTTAAAAATTACTGATGTTCCTTTAGCAGAAGACATAGCTTGTTAAACAGAACAGTGCAGGATAAACTCATCTCAGCTGACAGAATTAGCAGGTTTTCAGCATTGAGTTGAGATGAAAAACTATATTTAAGTGTTCATCCTGATAATGAACAGTGGCCCAGACAGTATTTCAGGTAAAACTGAGGAAGCTGTTTCTTGTGCAGCTGATTTCTTGTGGTACTGATTTATCAGACATGACTTTTTTAATACATTTTCAGGAAGAACATGGTGGACAGAAGAGGGTGTCAGGGTGGTGTGGAGTAACACTCATAATAAAAATTTTAGGTTGTCTGTTTTGACCTGCGTGGTCAAATTCACATTAATTCTTGTTCTTTGGCTAAAACTCATCACTCAAGCAGGACTTCAGTGTTAAATTTATCTGAAATACAGTATTTATTTTTTTTTTTAGTTGTAATACTTCACAATGCATCCTTTTTGTTTTGTAATGCTCAGCTTGGACTACAGTAGAGATTTCATTCTATTTCTTTGGAAAAAGTTGTTACTTAAATCAGTGCAGGACAATTGTAGTATATAAATATTCTGAGCAGATAACACTTCACACTTGCTCAGCCCTCTTTTAGTGTACATGATTATTCAAAGTGCAGAACAGTACAGAATCCCTCAGTATTTTGAAGGGCCAGAAGAATTGAGGAAGCATACTAAATTTTAAAATTTTCTGCTGATGATTATGTGCAAGGGAATTTGTGAAGAGGCTGTGCATCAGCCTTTAGTCATCCTGAGGGCTATGGAGTGAATAGTAGAAGTGATTCCACATTCCTGAAGCTTGTGTTCTGGTACTAAAGGTGGTTCCTGCACATTCTCACCCTTCTTGATTGTGGTAATGGGTTGTGTTAAAAAAAAAAGAAAATATCTTCTACTTATATGTAACACAGACATGGTAAGGGCAGCCAGGTTGTAGCCTTGGAGCTTTCCTTGAGTGTAGCTTGAATACCTGTCATAACTCTCAAAAATCAGGCTTACAGCATCTGCTATGCCATTATCTGTTGTCTCTAGGGCATTTTGTCTTCCGTGATTGTACTGTGCATACATGTCCCAAGTTATTGTTTGAGACTTTTCTAAGCTATTGAGGCTAGTGAAGTTCTCTCGAGGAGGGACAGGCTGAATTTTTTCCTAGAACTAGCTATGTATAGCAGTGCTCCTTTTTAGGCCACACTGAAGAAACATGAAACATGACACTAAGTAGTTAAAGCATTTAATTTTGACCTGTGTTAGTGCCTTTAACTTTAAAATGTGTGTTAGTGATCAAAATAATAATTTTTTTTTTCAGCTCCCACACATGCGACAAAAATTTTGTGTCAGCCTGTGTTCTTCTGACCAAAGATGAGCTTGCTATTCATAAACTTGGTTGAAATGGTTCACAACCTGCAGAATAACAAGACAATGTTCTAATAAGGCTGGGATGATAAAATACTGAGAATGTTACTCTCATTTCTGTATACAGCATGTTAGCATAGGTCTGTTTTGGGGTCTCGTAACCTTTGAATATCTTGTGCATTTCTCAGGAATGTGGGTTTGGTTGTTTTGGTTTGTTGTGTTGTGGTTTTTTTTCTGAAGGAACAGAATGAGTTGCTTTACACTGATTACCATCTGGAAACACTGAATAAGAAGAAAGGAGATTCTGTTTTTTCTCGCCTTCTAAGCTGCTGTTCTCAAATCAGTGCTCATCTTAAAGCCAGGAGGTGCAGGCTGGCCAGGAGGTGCAGCCTGGCCCACAACTTTTTTTTCCTTTCTGAAATCTTTCCATTCATCTTATTACTTGCCTTGGAGACTACAACATTGGAGGTTGTTTATTGTGCAAGATTTGTATGCAGAATTGTGTGATTAGCATAAGCCAAAAATCTGTCTAAAAATTACCTTTGTACCTACATCAGGTTAAGTTTGTGTATTTTGCGTAGTTTTGAGGTTTCATATACGAAACATTCTCAGTACTCAGTCAAAATTCTGTAACTACTATGTTGCACTTACGTGACCAGAAGTTTTTTTGCTGCTGCTTTATGTGAGAAAGTGACGTGGTCATAGGGAAAAACAAATTAACAGAAGGCAAAAAATATAAAACTAATCAGCGTGGCTAAAGATTTTAGAAGTAACTTTGATGGTGACTCTTTTTGGCATCTTATTTGTCTTGGCTTTAATGTATAATTGTAGTAAAATGTATGTTTTTCTATAATTACAATATATTATAATTATAGCGTAATGTAATAATTTCCTGTAAAACTTTGACTTAAACTCTTAGTTCGTTCTGAAGAAGCAAAGCCTTTTGGGCTCTGAGACTTTCCCTGTTTGCAGATCCTCTAATGTGTGTTTCAGACACAGTTTAGCTAATTCTCTTAGACCTTGATTTCTCATTAAAATAATTAAGGAATCTTTCTGGGTCCATTATTAGAGACTTCATTTCTGTACAGGTTTTTTCTAAATAGGTTTTTTCTGATTTATTGGAATGATTTCTCAGAGTGACTTTTGTAATTAAGGATGGGATGTTATGCTGTTGTATGTATTTGTCACTGTTATATATATTTTTGAAACAGGAAGCAGAAATGAGGTAACGACAGAAACATGTTAGAAATTCAGAGGGGGGGAAGTCTCTACTGTGTTTTTTTTCCTGCAGACTATCAGACAGAACATGCACTACAACAGTAAGTGCTAGGTGAAGAGCAAATGATCACTCTGTAGCAATATGTAATAAGAACTTTTAAGTTTGAATGGTACCCAGGACAATGGGATTATTTTCCATGAATTAGTCTAGCATGTCCTAGTAGAGTAACAGAAGAAAGGAGTAGAAAAATAGCAGAGTAGCAGAAATGTTCTCAAAGGTTAAAAAAATGTTTTTAGCTGGAGTATTTCATACATTGCACGTGCTGTTCCTTTATTTAGGAGTTGGACTGAGGTGTTAAAGTGACAATCTTTCTTGCTAAATAAAAGCTGATTTCATGAGTTCGAGGCTTGGTGGCCAGGCACTTAGAGTTTTCACATGCATTTTAGTTGCAATAACGAAATTGGAGTTGCTGAGAAAGTTTCTTTCAAATGGTCAGTCAGCATCACCAGGGAGAATGAACTTGGAGGGCAATGGAATAGAGTTCAGCATGTGGCCCTGGTGATTTGAGTGCAGAAGAGGTGGAGCCTGGCTGATCTTTATTTTTTACACTGGGGGACCAGTGAGGGGGAAACAGAACTCAAATGTTCAAAGTTCTTTCTCGCTGTCTGGGTTATCTCTTCCTCCCCAAAGGCCTTATCATTGGACTGCTTGTGTCATAAGCAGGATATTATGTCCAGGACAACTGTGATGTACCTGGAAAGTAGAAAAAAGCAGAGTAGTATTTAAAAAAAAAAAGTAGGAAGATTACTCAAACTATATGAGCTTTTTCTCCTTCCTGTCCTGATCCTTCTTTAGGTGTACTGAATTTGCCATGTCAAGTCTAACAATGTGTGAAATAAAGTATCCCTTTTATAACATTAGCTTTGAAACAGCACAAGTAGTGGGATGCCCTTCTGGAGTCCTGTAGCCAAGTGTCTTTCAAAATTTCTAACACTCTACCATGCATCCTCGTGCTTTTTGGGGCATTTTACTTTGTTTTCTCTTGTAAAGCAGGATGGTTAGGAACCATCTATTTTCTAGTGGAACCTGCTATTTCATCTAAGCATTATGCTCAGTTTTATTCTTTGACTAACCTTTGATTGCACTTGAAAGGGGGCTTAAAAAAAAAAATATAAAAAAATTACAAACTCCCAAACAAAAAACCCTCTAGGTTTGTGAAAAGAGCAGCCTACTTAAATTTTTACTCAAAAGCTAGTGAGGTGGAAGAAGTATAATGAGAAAGGCAAACTTCAGTCTGTTGGGGCTCATCTCCCTGTATGTTCCCACTGTAATAAGTGAGGAGTGAGAGGCCTCTCGGAGGGCTGGTTCAGAGCTTTGACTCACCCTCCAGAGGAACCTCTTTTTCTTCTCCAAGTACGGGAGGAGCTGAGAGCAAGATTAGACTCCTTATGTTGAAGTTAGCTTTTGTGATAGCTGTTCTGAGTAACTTTGCTACTCGGTGATATACAAAATCTGTGAAAGTTTACAGAAGTTCCTTTTGAATAAGATACTTTAAAGAACATAGTGTGCTCTTCAAGATGGTTGTCAGTAGTTGGTAACTGGTAAATCTTCTCTTAATACCATGACAGGCTTTCAAGTTCACTGATTAGTGTGGTATTAAACCTCATTGAGTCTTTTCAGCTCTGCTAAACCATCATTTCATAGTGCTGACATGGACAGGATTATTTTTAACCCCTGTGCTAACATTCTTTGCTGTCTTTGTAGCTTCAGTGAAATTTTTTATGCTCAAGAGCAGTTTTGAATTTGCCTTTTGCCAGTTAATGTCATTGCAGTAAATGTGTTTTAGCCTAGATCCTTCAAATGCTGTTGCATTTTAAATTTGTTTTTTAAAAAGGTCATTAGACTTAATAAAACATTTAAATTAAAATGCTTCAGTTGTGCTTAATACTTCACAGATCTACAAAGTTTTTAAGTAGCTGTTTCCGTTGTGTTTTTTAGAAAGCATCTTTACAGCCACCATCTTGTAACCTCTCACCTGAAGTCTCTAAAACAGCTGAGATGCAGATTATCTGTTAGCTAAACTAACTACAGTGAACCTGTTCTGAAGGGCTAATTTTCTAGCTTCTCATCAGTGACTGTTTGTTTATATTAAAACAATCCAGACTGTGGAGGGGGAAGCTGACTGTTAAGCCTAAAAACAACGTA